TACAAAGCAGTGCACTGTTAAGGAACAGGTAGTAAAGGTATACATTTCTTAAACAAATCACACACATTTAAAAATGATGGTATATCAGAATTCAGCCCTTGGATTTTGCATAACTGTGAAAAAAACTATTTTATTTGTATATCTGCAAATACCAACTAGTCATAATGTTTTGCATTTTCAAAAACTGCCCATCCCCTAGTCAGTACTACAACACAGGCATGGAGACATCCACATTACATTATATTTGTATGTAGCATCTTTGCTCCAAATCAAGTGCCAGTCAAGGAAGAGAGTACATTTCAATCTAAGGTACTTCTAAGGAATCAGTCACTAATTTAAGTCTCAATGTCTAAAGATATTTCTTTGTAACTTCTTATGCTTGCATATTTCCTTTTGTTGACACTCCTATTTCAGATATGCATTATGAAAATTGCAAATATAACAAAAAAAAATCTTAATTTGCTCACATTGTAAATAGAATTCAATCAATGGCACCATCACTCTTTACAGAGCATAGTGTATGCGCCAATGAGTTCTTTGATGGCTGCTGAGTCCGATGCATGAGTGACAGTCCCGTCCACAGATAGGCCACACCCACACACTAACGATGCTCTCAATCCGAGCAGCAGATTCTTTCTTCCTCTGACGCTGGTCATCACAAACCCCGATTCAGTCTGCTTCACAACGCCTTGCTCCATCTATCTACATACAAGCTGATGCCGCTAGCCAGCGTGACATTCTTCACTCCTTTCCCAATCATCCAAAGGATTCCAAAGGATACTAAATCATCTTTGCAAGCATCATGAAATCTGCACAGTGGTCTGCCTCTATTTTAAATACTTCTCGAGCTTCAGAGTATAGCACATTCTTTGCGATCCTGTAATCCAGCATTCACTTGACATGTCCAAGCCATCTGAGTCTTTTCTTACTAATCAACATTCCGATGAATGACATACTAGCATGATTTAATATTAAATCAAACTAGTTTATCTACAAACAATGGAACAGAAAGAGAAGATAGTACACCTCTACCCCGATATAATGCTGTCCTCGGGAGCTAAAAAAAAATCTTACCGCGTTATAGGTGAAACCGCATTATATCGAACTTGCTTTGATCCGCCGGAGTGCGCAGCCCCACCCCCCAGAGCGCTGCTTGACCGCGTTATATCCAAATACATGTTATATCAGGTCGCGTTATATCGGGGTAGAGGTGTACATCCACAGCAGAACAGAAGGGCAGTAATAATTTTCTAGGCAGAATGGTGGAAGAAGCATTGCCTAAGACATGTAAAACTTGATTGGACAAAGCACTAGCAAATGCACTTGAGAGAACAGTCCTACACGTATGGATGTCCTACAGCTTCACCCAAGCGGTCATAAGGAGTGGAAACCAAACCATCAGTTCCTTCCAGACCTGTTGGTGTGGGGTTCTGGAGATGTGTTGTTTCATTATTTTCTAATGCCCCTGGCAAACAGGGAGATAATGCTGTGTCCTGAATTGCACAGGAGAAGATGCAGGCTAAGCTTTCCATGCACTTGGAAGATGATGGACATGACCTAGCTCAGGGGTCGGCAACCTCTGGCACGCAGCTTGCCAGAGTAAGCACCCTGGCAGGCCAGGCCAGTTTGTTTACCTGCCGCGTCCGCAGGTTCGGGGCTCCAGGCCAGTGGGGGCTGCGGGAAGCGGCGCTGTGCTGGCAAGGGATGTGCTGGCCCCGGCTTCCCGCAGCCCCCATTGGCCTGGAGCAGCAAACCGTGGCCAGTGGGAGCCACAATCGGCCAAAGCTGCCGACGCGGCAGGTAAACTAACTGGCCTGGCCCACCAGGGTGCCTACCCTGGCGAGCCGCGTGCCAGAGTTTGCCGACCCCTGCCCTAGCTGGTCTTTCCCTTCTCTGATACCTGATTCTAAAATGGTCTTTTAAAACATCAAGAAATAAGTTTTAAAACTTCACTGTTTTAGAGTACAGTATTACTAATGCAGGGAATTGGTAATGGGTTGTACTGCCTTTCCCCTCTATGTCACCTATTCTATTCTGGCCAAGGATAGTAACAAATGAAAGTCTTTCCTCTCAGATGGCTGTACAATAGCCTATATGAAGTGAGTTGGTGGTCTCAGTCCAGTACTAATGGTCCATGTCATCTAAGTCAGTGGTCTCCAACCGCACAATGCTATCAGTAAAAAAATTTTGAGCAAGCACCCCCTGCCACGCCAACTCTACCATTTTTGCCGAAGCATAAAAAAAACCACTCTGACTCCCGCCCAAACTGACGCAAAGCCAAAAAAAAAAAAAAAACCTCCTCCTGCCAAGACCACTGATCTAAGTACACCATCACAATTGGC